AATTAAATTCTGCCATATTCATTTTTAAGCAACTTAAATTCCGCTCAGCTCTCTATTTAAATGATATGTTTGTGTTGAATGAGAATTCGAGACGTCCAGACGGTCAACTTCGTGTTCAAGTAAAGCCTCGTTCTGAGTTTGATAAACGTGCGTTCGGTTTCGCTGCAATTAATTTTTTCAATTCAATTCCAAATACGATTAGAGATTGTGAATCGGTTTATTCATTTAAATTTCATTTAAAGCAATGGCTTCGCGAATCGGAATAATTAGTTTTTTTCTATCAATTTCTTGTCATTTATATATTTGTAAACTGCTTGTTTTCCATTCTCGTGATCCATCTTTCATCATAAAATATTTATTTTATTATTATTTTTTATTATTTGTCTATTTATTGAATTATTTATTTTATTCAATTTTATTTTATTATTTATTATTTATTGAATTATTTATTTATTTATTTATTTAATTACTTATTCTTATTTTGTTATTTTTTTATCATTTTTAATTTAATTTATTTTATTATTTTATTTCCAAAATATATTTAAGATAATGTTAAGTATTTCCTCTAATTCTCCTGAATTAGACCGGTTTTGCCATGGTTTTCCGGATCCAATATCGGTATTTATAGTAATCATTTCATCGTTTTTTTCTCTCATATTATTTTAGTAACCGTTAGAAACTAATTTTGCCGCAAGGCCACCTTCTATAAAATGTATCGTTGTGCTCGATGTTTATCGCTGTTCCTACATAAATTTCCGTTGAATGGTGTGCATTACACTCATAATATGAGCGTTGTGAATTGGGAGTTGGGTAGGATAGCTGGCATCTGACACGCATCCATCCCCACGCATATGGTCAAATGCTAATAGCAAAGTTTATGAATGTTGGTTACTGATTTTTATTGTGATAGTAAACATTGAAGTATTTCCAACGACATTTTTGTGTAGTGAGAGCGGTTTGCGTTATGCAAATAACAATATGTTACCAATGCATCAAATTAAATTTCAAGACAATTCCCAATTCCTTTGCGTACAATGTATTTTCGTTTAAGTAGCTGTCGACAGAGCTGTATCTTTGATCAGCAAAACTTAAATTCATTGAATTTCAAAGAAAAGGGAAGAAAACGGTGCCCTAGGAAAATAAATACCATTCGTACGCGTGCTTATTCGTTTTGTGGGGTACGATTTTTTGTTTTCGTTTTGCGAGAGAATATGATTACAAACACTTATAATTTGATGAGAATTTGTAAGCTTTAAGTCTTTTAACCATTCAAATAAGTCAAATACGCATACTTTTTTTTCATTCGATTCAAATTAACGTTTCCAAATTTCACGCACAAGTTTAACAGAACTTTATGGTTTTGCTTGGGATATTTCAAGTACTAGATCGAATCATACGTCCTCAAGGGAAAAATTTAAGGGGGGGGAAAGAATTCTTTGAAAATTTTCAAGGGTTAACACTTCGTCAGGGGGGGGGGGGGGTAATCGGACCCCTCGGACCCCTGCTGAGGACGTATGATATCTATCCAGAATATGAATAACAGTTTCTTGGTAGTTGACTAAAATAAAACTATTGCCTTTTTCAATTGGAAAAAAGACTCAATTTTTCATTGTCACTCTTGAAAAACCGACCGAAAATAGTTGAGTATGACAGGTACATTGACTATCACCTTATTCCTTTTTGTATGCAAGAGTCATTCATTCAAGGTCATCATCGAATGCAAGTTCGTATTTGCTGACTGTGCATATACATTGCATGAACCATGACAAAGAAATAAAAAAAAAGACCTCGTAAAACAATGTCCATCGCCCAATTTTATTAAATTTATAATTGTTGAAATGAAGGGTTGGCGCCTTTTTGTGTCAGACGTGTGTAAATAGTTGATTAATAGTTATTCAAGCATAATAATAAAAATTCGTTTGACTGCGACGACTGACTTGTATGTTTTTGTTGTCAAACAAATTGAATTCGGAAATGGTGTATGTGTAAGTGTGTGCGACAAGGGATACAGCAAAAACATAATTTCATGCACTAATAGCATTGACGCGTTAAATTTTTTTTTGCAAATTGAATGGCAATGAAAATGTTCATAGACCGCACCACCTGCCATCATATCGAATTATTTCCCATGCTAATTTTACTTTGAATGAAAATGTTATGGTATGCATTTGGCAAGCATTTTTGTCGGTCAAGTAATTACTGGAAAAGCATTACAACGCCATTTTTTTGGCTCTTACCGTGAAAAGTGCAAAACAAGCGATTTAATATAAAAAATGAATGTACTGAATGCTATTCTAGTAATTGGAAAGAGAGAGAGAGAGAGCAAGACCACATTTCGTTTCGTCAATGGCATGTGCCGAATATTGCGAGGCAGCCATCATAAATAAACAATAATAATAATAAAATGGAATGGAAATAAAACAGAGACCGAGAAAAAGGGGAAAAATCGTACGAAGCAAAAATCCCATCAATGTAACGGGTAAATGTGGGTGCACAGCGGTTAAGTGAAAAGCTTATATTACAATATCTCAATTCAAACGGAGTGAGTGAATTTCGGATACACAATAGGCAACTTTTGCACCTTCAATTGAATTGCAACATTCTCTCCGCGCATTCAATTCGCTCTGTATCTTTTTCTTTGCTCCGGCACTTTTTTTTCTCTCTTCCATTCGGTCGGCCAATGTTGAAATTATCGAAGCGCAAAAAAACATGTTCCTCTTTTACATCATTTACCAAGTTCGTTTTCTCTCGTTTCAAATTCGACGAACAATAATGACATGGTTAACAAAACAAGCTCCAACATTATATTAGATAATTTGGTCACGAGAAGAGAGCATTTTATCGAGAGAAAAAACGGAAGAAAGCAGGAAAGAAAGAAAAACAAATGAAAACCCAAAAATATTTTCTTCAACGTTTGCATATTCAATGAGAAAAATGAGCACACGAATGAAAATCGCATCTTGTGGTCGCACACACACACACCCACATAAGCACAAAAAACATTGAGTTGAAGGAAATTCCTAAAAATGTATTGTTGTTTTTACTGCTGCCACTGCTGTGCTTTTATTATTCTTCGCTTACTTTTGCACAATGTGCACTATTGTTTACGCGTAACACAGTATATAAAAGTTCATAACATCTTCTATGAAAATACAAAGTGCAAGTATCCGCTTTATCGTCGTGTGATCGCACATAATGTTGTGTGTTTTGCGTTTTTCATTTAACTCCCTTATTGTTGTTCAGCACGTCGCCTACTATACACGAATTAACACAACAGAAATTGTCATAGTGCTACACGATACCGTTTGAATAGAGTTGCGCACGTGTATGCCTATTTTATGCTGTTGTAGACGTTGTTGTTGTTGTTGTTTGAATTGTTGTTTTTTCTTGTGTAACGTTTTCCGACTTTCCAAATTTTCATCGAATCACACACACACGCACACATTCTCGCTCATTTACTAACACAAATACACAACTCAAACTTATTGCCAATAGCAGCACATGCGGTGGCGGCAGCAGCAATGCTTTAGCTCAAAATTGAATTGCACACATACACAAAACGGAACGTAAACCAATACATTCATCACATCGTTTGTCACCCGATACACAATCGCACCGTCTCGCTCGTTGCCGAAAGGAAATTGATGATTTTTCTCTGTTGGTTTCGCATTTTCCACCAAACGTGCGCTTGTTCGCTCCTTATTTTCAGCATATATACCAAAATAAACTTTTTTTTCTGTTTCGGGCACGAAAGAGAAGGAGAGCGAGAGGGCGAATGAGACACTGAGAGCTTTAACTGCGTGCATGTTTGGCCAATGCTTTCAGTTTCACATCGAACGATTGTCTGGCATCATGTAGCGTATGATTATTCTGCGACAGAAATACACTACGCTACCCAACAAGATTCAAGACAGAAACATTTTCTATTTATCTGCCGCTCTCTCATCAAAAATTGAACATTTTCCTTTCTAATTTCATTATCTTAATATAATATAATATATTCAGTGTATTTTCTTTTTTGGAAGAAGAAAAAAAATCAGGGTGTTGTCGTTGAATATCCCTTAAATTGTGTTTTCTGTGATCAACAATTTGGTGATCAACAATGGAAATAATCAAATGAAAAAAATTCAATTCAAATTGTTAATTGAATGTAACGGGAAGCTATGAGCAAGTAAAAGAAATAAGCAAGAAATTTACTGTGAGTGTATGTAAGTGAGTGACTGGCTATATGACATTTTTCATTGTGAATTATTTTAAAATGTGAAAAGAAGATTAAGACGTTGATTCAAAAGCAAACGTGAAAAGAAAAAGGATACAAAACGAAGCTGCGTCACTCAAAGATACCAAATGAAGAAAAACGGTAATTTTTTTGTCGCTCTTTGGGGTGAAGTGAAATTTCATAAAAGATACACAGAAGATATCCACATAGACCGCATGAACTTGGTCGATTTCAAAGTTACAAACGATAAAGTTCGTGATTGATTGTTCATTTTCGACCCATAATTTATTGGCGCAGTCAATGCTCAACCCAAACATGTGTGTGCTCATTAATAAAAATTCGAGTGAAACGCCACAGAAAAAAAAGAGAGAGAGAGAGAGAGAGAGAGAGAAAGAGAGAGAGAGGAACGAAATGCAAAAGAGGCTAATGTAGCGTATATATGCGTGCAACGGGAAAATACAATTTATGTCTGTATATTAAACAAACGATATAAATTTGAAATGCCCACACTAAAGAGAAAAAGAAATAGTGCGAAAGGCAAATGAAAATGGCAAAAGAATTTTTGGTCATTTTTGTCGTCGTTGTTGTTGTGGTTGTTGTCAACTGTCGCACGCGTTTGTTTGTGCCTATTCTATTTTTAGCATTTTACCGAACAGATTTCAAGCGAAAAAAAATTATAAATCACGTAAAATGGATGAAAATAAAATATATGTTTATATGTCAAGCTGATTTGTTGTTTGTTGTATATTTTTTTTCATCTTCTCTATTTCGTCAAAGAATCGGTAAAAAAATGACACTCGACAAAATCTACATTTTAAATGCATGTTTTGCACTTGCACATTTAGTTTTTTAAAGTGCACTCTTTTTTTATTTGACTTACTCAATGTTTTGCGGGTACAGCAATGGTAGAATTGACGATAGACCATCACAAATAAACAGAGTGAAAGCGAAAAACATTGTATTTGAAAGCCACTGAAACGAATAAAATGAAAACATCAATAGAAATTTCATTCTAATTGGCTCGCATGGATTGCGTGCGATTAATTGTGTGTAAAAAGAACTGATAGAGGCACAGAGAGAGAAAAAAAAAGAGAAAGCATGACTGAGTCAGTTTTTTTCTCTCTTGAAACCCAATATGCGGTATACATTGATGAATTTTGTGCCTGGGTGTCTGTTTGATTTGAAAATATTGACTGGTAAAATCAGTTGTGTTTGTTTAAAATTCTGAATGAATGTATGTAGCGAATGATATACTACTGTGATCAAAAAGTAAGGTGAATTTGTCATTCAAACTTCGCACAGAGGTGGAATTGTTGAAATTCTTTTTTATTTGCTTCGTAGCACGTCAGTATCTCCATTAGGTTTTGAGTTACTTCTGTTCGTTTACATCAAGAAATTTTCATTTGGCGATTCATGGTTTTTTCGAAACATTCAATAAATATTTTCAGAAAAGTTTATATCTGTCAATGAAAACTGTATGGGAGTAATGATATCACAAGAGAGAACCAACTTCATTCAGAAATAGATCCGAAAAAATCGGGATTAAATTTGCCAAAAGTTGACCAAATTCTCATTTTTTGACATATTTTCTCATTTTGGTACCCTATGCCTAAAGTACAACGTATTTAATTACTCAACAATTATTAATTATTTCAACAATTCCACTTCTGTGCGAAGTTTGAATGACAAATTCACCTTCCTTTTTGATCACAGTAGTAAGCTTGTGCTTTATCGCAAAATAAATAAAATAAACGAACGTCCGTCGGACAGCACGCGTGTTTCGACTTGGAATGTATCGGGAATCGGATTGTTATTGTTATTTCTCATCGAATCGAATACCAACAATAACGGAATCACCAACGACAACGACCACGGCCGCTATAAAAACAGCAGTAGCTACAATTTTCAAGATACCACCGTACTGTCTATGATTTACATGTGTTGTTGTTTTTTTGTGTATATGAAAAGTTTTCTACTAATATGCAATCGGAGCGCGTGCTGAAGTTTTTCATCCTGAAACCAAAAACGTATAACACACTTTCTCAATGCACTCAGCATTACTCACGTGCCGTACACATATTGCATGTATATGTGCAGTTATTTTCACGTCATTTGCTCGATGAGTGCAAAACATAAATTCGTTTCGTTGAAGCGTTCGGCGATTTCTTTCCCCTACTGCTCTTCCTCACTGCTTGGCGCCTCCTCTACATTGTGCTGTTTCTCATTATTCCATGTATAAATTACAAAGTTGTATCATTTTTCTTCGAAGCATTGACACTTCTTCTTGAGACATAAATATATCTACATATTGTGGTTTATGTGGTGAACGTTATCCGATTTGAATCTGTTGTCCATTGGCCCGTAAAATGTCTTACATTTGAAATTGATGCGCTGAAAATGTGTAGATTTTGGATTTTTTTTTGCCAATTGGACTTGGATGGTTGTGCATTGAAGCTATACGATAGACACATACGACATACATTTAATAGATTACTCCATGCATTTGTGGTTTGTATTAAAACAATTCATTCTTTTGCTCTGTCTCCGTCACCGTGCCCCGTGTCTGCCACTTCTTTTCATATTTCTCTCTGAACCGGATTAATGGAAGTGTTCTTGTTACAAATCCAAATTGAAAATATTCTCTTGCCTCAACTTTATATCTACTGTTTTCGTTTTTCGTTTCTCCTTTAGCTAGTCCAATCTTTTGTTGTTGTTTTTCTTTATTTCATATGGTTGGATTAATTTGTGTGATACACTATGGAACAAAGTGCTTCGTGTTCAGTGTGTCATGTCATCCACCATCACTTTGTTGGAACAACATTGACGACGACGACAACGACGACGACGGCGACACTTCGCTTTAGCCATTTATTTGAATTCGCCGCTCTCTTCTTCAATTCGCTTAATATTTTATTCTGTCGTCAGAGAGTCAAATTATAAACGACTTCCTAACAACCACTTTTTATGACCTATATTTTGTCCCACTCCCACCATGCCGTTTCTCTCTCTTTTTTTTATCCTGAAACTTTGTATTTCTGTTCATTCACATTGTGTGTTCATATGTATTGCGTACTCTTTTTTCGGTCTCTGACATTGTCGACCCACCATGTGTGTGTGTGTGTGTGTGTGCTCAGTAGGAAAAGGTGAAGATGCGTGCGTGTGTGTGTACAAAGAAAGCACATTTCCATCCCCAATGCCTTCATATGAATGGCTTTGTATAGTGTTTCAATAACATAATCGCATCGGCATTCAATTTGTCTGTTTATTCCTATGAACCATCTTCGTCTTCGTCGTCACCCTCGTCGTCATTATCTTCGTTTCCAGCATTTTCAAAAACAATTAGAATATTAGAATGTCGAAAATATAATGCTGTTTGTCGTCACATTGTACAAAGAAACGCGTACGTAACCAAACCGAACGGTAAAAATGTACACAAATCCTTTGTGTGTCACGTTTTCACCCATGGCTCGCTCATTCATGCATATATTTTATTTATTTTTTTTCTATAGTAATGATTATCATTATTAAGTAGGTGGCAAGCGAGTGTCATTGTTGTGTGTATGTTACCTTTGTTGTGTGTGTCTCCATTGAGGTTGGGTAAATTAAAGAAAATCTATGGAAATGTCAAGCAAGTTGACTGCAAATCATTATTTTCCAATTGACAACATGCAACACATTGACGACTTAATCGAATTTCCTTTTACTCTATCCGTTGCTATGTTTATTCCCATTTGAAATCTCTTTCGATTTTATTTTCTTCAATTCACCTTCGGCACATTTTTTCTGCTGTTGCTGTTTTACGTTAACAATTTCCTGCGGTTTTTCAAGCCATTGAAGATTATTCCGTGATTGCATTTTTCTTTAGAAAAAAAATGGGTAGTCTAACGATGTATGTAAAGATATTTTGACGTGCATCCGCATAAAATACAACAGGCCAAGTGCAAAAACAACAACAATTGATTACAATTTAAAATCATGTGCAAAATCAATTAGTTTGATTATGATTGATTGGCTTTTGCGGGCGCATGTTGTTACACATATTTTTAAGAGCTCCTCTCGCTGTGCGTGTGTGCTGTGTTTCTCTAGGGAGAAAGCTTTCTGTTATAACTAATATTTATGCCTTCACATTCCTTGTTTCTTTTTTTCATCAACACAGGAAATTAGACGCAAACATTTTTCTATCAAAATTAATCAAAAGCGAAATTTTCAATCAAAAATATTGACGCAAACACAAATTTACCCCTCAACAATATTGTCGACAATAATTGCAGAAGACCCATGAAACAGACGATGATTTCTTTTTAATATTATCGTTTAACGCCCACATTTGGCTCGAAAGCATACAATAGCGCAAATCCACAACCCCTCCAAAAAAAACAGACAAATCAACGACATAGAGAGACAGACAGAGTTTGGGTGAGTGAAGAGAGCAGCCAAATTTCGGGAGCCATTTGGAAAATTTCATCGAAATCAAGCAGCAATTTGCAAATGATGTGTTCGCAATCATTGCATCAACAACGACATGGCCGATTTAGAATCGATCATTGAATTTTCGATTGAATTCTATAAATTCCATAATGTCGATTTATTTCAACGAGGGTAAGTACTATTATACGACTATTTCGTTTATCCTTTATATCGCTTTCGTTTTTACAACCGAACCGAACGAGGGCGAATGGAAAGCGTAGAAGAGAGATACGGGGTTAAAATCGATTTAACTCTTTTTGAAATCCATGCAATGAAATTTGTTATCTCAATAATGAAATCGTCGCATGAACAACTTGACAATTCAATTTACCGAAAACAAATTTTCCTCTCAAGAATGGCTGATGTGTGTGCATGTATCCTTTGTTTCGAGCTGAATCTTTTTCGATGATTTTTTTTTGTGTTGGTTCGGCCGAAAAAGTCATTCAGCCGTTTTCATGTTCATCGATCGATCGATCGATGGCAAATCATGATTTGCACAAGAGATTATATTTGAACGAATGTAAGAATAAATTCAATATATTCGTTGGATATTTAAAAAAATATATACGCTACGTGAAATGAAAGAAAAAGAAACAACAAATAAATCGTCGTCATCAATGACTCATCGTCTAGGTATTTTGGTGCATTTTGTCTTCGGAATATATGTTGACAGATTACGTGTTGATTCCATTCAATACCGATCAAAGAAAAGCATATTGGATTCGCTTAATATTTTATTTCGAATTCACTTTATCTTTTATTCGTATATCTCGAACGTTGGATTATTAATTCAGGTCTCCCAAGATCCACTTCATTCGCCACAATTCGCTCTTTTATTTTTACCTCTCCATGTCTATAGGCATATATGCTCTCAATTTTTTTTCTCCATTTATACGAATAAGTCATTGAGTTCGATTTATAAAATACCCGATAATCTGCTTGTACCTCGTGCCATAAATATGAAAACGTGAATGGTATCAAAAATCGTATATTTTCCATTGATATTATTATTATTATTATTATTATTATTATTATTTATCTGTTTAAGTGCTTCAATAGTTCTCTTTGTTAATATAAAGTGTGTTTTTTTTTTTCATTTCATGTTCAATCAAATGACTGTCACATTCAGATTCTATCAAGTGCGATGCTCGTTACGTGTGTCACCGCGAATACCAGTGCAGATAGAGACGATCGTACCGAGCGTATTGGAAAGTTTAAATGAAGAAATCACATCGTCAACGACAAAAAAAGAATCGGTGATTCGTGGTGCTGGTACATCGAAAACATTTCAAATTCTCTATCGAAATGAAGAGGTGATACTCAGAGATACGGTTTTGTTCCGTGTACGAATGCCAGGTAAAAATGTTCAATTGCATGGGAACAATAACATCTCACACATGTATTTGGACTCCCTTTTTTGGCTCATATTATAATGTTTGTTTGTTTGTTTTTTATATATATATTTCCGATGTTGTTGTTAAATTGTTCATCATCAACCACAAAAACACCGAAACCGAAATTGCAGTCGATAGCAAGAATATACGTCAATCGATTGAGCGTGCCGAATTCTCATTAGTCGTTGAATTATGGTTTGGCGAACAGACGCCCGGTCTGAATCTGGTCTCATCGCGTACACTGAATTTGAATTTTCATCCGATTCGGGGTCTCCACTATCATTTGCCCGTGTTATTCGATTATTTTCATATGGCTTCCGTTAGTTTGGGCATTCATGCAAGTTTAATAGCGTTTCAGTATAATAGGTAGGTACAACTCTGTCTCTCTCTCTTTCTCCCCGTGTGTGTAGAATACAAAAATGCGGAAGGAACGAATCTACATCTATAATATAATCTCCATGTAAAGGTTCTATTATATATGAATGCAAAGCGCCACATTCTCACATACATTGCGAATGTGACTTGTAAAAGTTCTATTTCCCTTTAAATTTCCATTGCAAAATGCCATGTTTTTATACCATTTTCATTTCATGATTTGTTTTTTTTTCTCACTTGTTTTTCTATCGCTCTTGTATTACACTTCTCGGTTTTGCGGTGGAAATTTTCATTTCGATGATTTGTTGCGCTTGTTTTCTCATCCATTCACACATACACATTCGGCGTTTTCATGCATGTTTAAAATGCATTCGATTATTATTGTACGCGATGCGCCACATAGTCTTACGAAGAGCTCAAAAACATGGAACGGAAGATTAAGCTGTCGAGGTGGAACTTCATCAAATCATATCGATAAACCGTCAAAACATGCAACATCCAATCGTTTATCATTCACCAAACAGGTTAACATTTTTTTTATTGATATATTTGCGAACATTTATTTTTTTTCATTTTCGTGTATGTTGATTTGCACAAATTGAATTTATGAATGACACATTGGTTCGGATGAGACAATTTTCTTTTAATTTGATCATTCTTCTTTTTTGCGTGTTGAATTTGTATCTATTGATAGATTGTATATTTTTTCAAATCAATAAAGTTCTTCGTTTTTGATTGATGTTAAATAGGTGCATGCTGAAATTTGTGCCTTACTCATCGAAGTATTGGAATCGCTGAAAACAAATTTAACCGATTTTAGCTGCGTATTGCCCAATCAATGGATCAATGTCACAACAAGCAATATTAATTCGTCTGAAGAACTCGAACAGTTGACCAACCGTACAAAGGTGCCATTTTTTTTCTCTCTCAACATATTTATGAACTCCATGTGATGATTCCATCATGAAGATTTTCAAAGAAAGTTCACGAATTTGTGTTAATCAAAAATTCGAAGAAATTTCTTCAAAATCCAAGTGGTTTGAACTAATGGAGTTCGACTGTCTTTATTTCATGAAAGCTCGTATGTTTTCATGCGACTTCAAAAAAAGCGAAAAACTTCAAAGGAGAATGTTAAATTTGATTAATATACAATAACATCCAACACTTATGGAAATGACTTTACTTTGTTAGTTTGATGGCGCTGCCAAGAGTCATGCATAAAGATACATTTAACATTGTCTTGAGTGAATTTATTTAAAAGTTTGAATTTTGCATCAAAAGCTCTATTCTCATTTTGAATATTCCGCTGAACATTTATTCATATATTGAAATTTTGTCACTTCCAAAAATCTATAGCAGAAATGTAATTCGGATGAGAATTTTTTGCAAAAAGCAAAAGCTGATTTAAAGCAACTGTGTGATGAATGTTCATTATGCTGGAAACATGCATTAACCGTTGGAAGTCAACCATCTGTGCATAGTTTATTGGCAAAACGTCATCATATACTTCGTGTAAAACGTTTTGCCGAAGGTTTTTTTGTAAAAAGTAATGCACGTCAAACGGCTACCATGTGCAATGATTCCAATTATCAAAATTATAATGCGATTTATGAAGCGGCGAAACGATCGCGATACATCAATTCCCTCCCACTGCTGCCTGTGCACTGTACACCAATTGACGGTGATGCTAATTCACTTCCGCTTATATTCGAAGATAAATACGAAGGTCTCACTGAATCCACAAATAATCGACGTAAGTATTTTTTTTACTGAATTACAACAATTTCCATGTAATTTAACCGAAAAATGTTCGGCATTTCCTTGGGTGAACGCAAAAAAAAGAGAAATTCTTTGGCAAAATGCCAAAAGCACTTGAACTTTGCTTACTTTGCGACACATGTTCCAATTTTTCTCAAAGCAAAAGAAGAAAAAAAAATCGGTTTTGAAAAAACAATTTCCTGTACGATTTATCTGGAAAAATCTGCGACGAATATTCTGTCATACCAAAGTGTGATTAAATTTTTGTCGATTTTCTTTCATTTTGTTTCCTTTTCTTCAAATCAGATTTTAAAAAGCATTCCGACGAACGGACGCCAGCATCACAGAGTTGCTGCAAAAATGATTGTGCGTGTCCAATGCATACAAATTGGTCGTCATCATCGTCGTCATCAAATGGTGTGATCAATGGTGGCGGAAAATTTGTTGGTGTTTTAACTCCACGTCTTGCACTTGGCGGTGAAGTGCTACAAGCCAGTCTCACCATTTCACCATCGGCCCATAAAAATTTTGTTCAACGAACAATGTCTGCACGACATTCCGTTTCGGTTTCAAATACAATTCATCCCAATCATTTCTACGATTATGGCATAAGCAATGGCAGTGGTAGTGGCAACGGTAACGGTGCAGTGCCCGTCTTTCCAACGCGTCACAGTAAATCACTTGATCAATTAGAATTATCGGCAATTAATAATTATGAAAAACATTCACATCAAAATGGAATTGAATGCAACTATGCATATGGCACGCATTTAATTCCATACGAACATGCATTGCTTGAACATGCAGAAATTGGTGATTGTTCATCCGATGCTGATAATATTGGTCAATTTAAAATTGGTAACAGTTCGAATGCATTTCATGAAGTGTCATCAAATCATCGCAAATGTTTGGAACGAACGAAAAGTGCGAACGGTGATTATTGGAATGGGCAACGATGTAGCGGTTCACTCAAGAAAAAAGGTTGTTCAAAAGCGATTACACTTGATAGCATTAGTTCGCAGAAATTGTCGCACAACGAATCATTTAAAGAAAATAAACCGACGGCATCAACGACGACGGTTAAACAAGAATTAACCACGTTAACAGCAAAAACGATTCCGTGTAATGGAAAACCGGAATTGTTTGTTATGCGATCTGAGCGTATTATAATGCCACGAAATCCACCAATTGCATTAAAAAAATCCAATAGAAAACTGCTTAGCGAACGAACAACAAGTTTTACACACACCAAAGCCAGAGAAGTGGATAAATTAAATATATCGAGTTCAGAGAATGAATCGTCACCAATCCGAAAAGTTAGCAAACGTAAACGAAAACTAACACTTTCATCGAGTGTACCATTACGAATGGAAAATACAAATGGAAATGCACGTGTGGCTAGTGAAAGTTTACCAAATTTATTACAAAATGCGTTGACAATGTCATCGTCACAATCGATGAACAATTGGCCAGTGAGGATGATGAATATCAACGGCGATGAATCAATTAGCGATAATAATAGCCCATGGAATATGAGTGAGAAAAGTTTGAACGCATCGGATTCGGATCGATGTGAGAAGAATGATGTTATACCAACAAATGGTCAATACCTGCAAATCAATGGAAATCGATCAATTTATCATCGAAAAGACTTAAAAATTGACAGTATCAAATGTGAACAGGAAGACGATTGGTATGAAATAAAACCACTGCCCGAACGCCATTTATACGTACGCAAAGATTTAATGCTTCAAACAAAAGAAAATTGTTTTCGTAAAAATTTGTGCGAAAAATCAAAATCAGAATTTAATTTAAATTTATTAACGCCACCCGATCAATTTCGTGATCCACCAACATATGAAACTAGCTCAACAAATAGCACCACCGAAAATGAGAATAACAACAACAATGACGATGATGATGATGACGATGGTGACAGTCAAACCATTGAGTATTTAGACGATGATCTGGCCGAATGTCGAAGCATGATAAAATCACAAAGTAACCGCGATCTCACCTATCAAAATGATTTTTATCGTGTACACGTCTTACCACCGACCATTGAATGTGTTAACAAAGAATCGAATGGACAGGGTCGCATTGATGAAGCTGATATTGATGATAATGGTGTGGAAAATAAACAAACCAAAGTCACGCTACCTCTAATGTCGCATGAAAAATGTCGTATTGAATTCCGTAAGCAAATCAAATATTCCGGCCAAATGTATTGTGATTTCGCAAAATTTGCATCGGAATTACCATATTTCCATCATATCAACGATGAAGATCGTCTACTATCACGAAATGGCATGCATTTAATCGTTTGTGTTCATGGTTTGGATGGAAATTCAGCCGATTTACGTTTGGTGCGAACATATTTGGAGCTCGGACTACCCGGTGAAAATTTGGAATTTTTAATGTCCGAACGCAATCAAGGCGACACATTTTCTGATTTTGAAACCATGACTGACCGGTAAGTGGACCATTCTTTATCAAATTCAAAAATATTTTCAAAATCCATAAATAAATAAAGAGTCTTACGAACTTTTCCGCACGGTGGTAGTTGCGTATTTTATTAAGAAAGTTCAAAATAATATTTGTTCGATTTTTCAAGCCTTTCAAGCGGCGTAAAGTTTGAGGCCAAAAAATATGTTTCCACTTTGGCAACAAAATATTCTTAATAGCAGAAGTACCAGAGAAAAGATTTTTCACACTTTCATGATGAACCCATTTGTACGACATTTGAAAGTATTCTATTATTTTCTAACAAAACACTATAAAAAATATAATGTTTGTGATTTGGCATTTTGTAATGCTAAAGATTACGTCAGTATAAGTAGTGGTTCTTCATTTCCTTGATAATGTTCCAATGGTTTATCTTATTCGAACTGTCGTAGATGAAAATAAATTAATTTTGTTTTCTTTCTTAAATATAAAAAATATGTCTGACGCTAATTTTGCCATAGAAATTATTTTTGAAACACTTTTCATAACTAAAGTCACAAAAAATTTGGATTTTTGTATGGGAGCCATGTCTGTATGCTACCTTAATGGTGTGAAACTTTGCACAGGTTGTTTTTTCACAAAAAAAAAAACATCCGGAGGGTTTGGAGAAATTTCAACCAAAATTAAGAGTACCTCCCATACAAAATATTCATTTTTGAGCCAAAAACTGAAAATGTTGTATGGGAGGTACCGCCAATTTTGATTGAAATCTCTTCAAACTTTCAGAATGTTATTTTTTTGTGTAAAAAATAGACTGTGTAAAGTTTCACACCATTAAGGTAGCATACAGGCATGGCTCCCATACAAAAATTCATTTTTTTTGTGATTTTTTCAAGGAAACTGTATCAAAAATTGATTGTATCTCAAAACTAACGTCGGATTCGGTTTTCTTGTGCCAAAAAACTCCCCAATACATATTTTTGAGTGTTTAAGTTCACATTAAGTATGACTTTTGGACGAAAATTGGACTCTTTTTCATAGGTATCACTACAGGCATGACATTTTTTTCCATCATCCAAAGTCGCTCAAAAGCTAATGATTTCTATTCCTCGGGACCCCCAATCATCCTGTTAAGTCAGATTTTGAATTAAGTTTCTACGATGAGCGCAATCTTGCTAACAAATTTTGCGTACGACGTACAACGTACGACGTACAGATTAACACTAGGGGCAAATCACCATTTGCAAATATTCTGTATTTGCAAAAAATTTGCGTATTTCCAAAGATATTTGCATGTTTTTTAATATTTGTACACATTTGCAAATATTTGCCCTGATTTACGACATTTGTATACTTGACTGTGTAAATGCAGCTAATGAGAATATCTCATTTATCACGAAATTAAAAAAGAACTAATTAACTTCAAGTATAAAATATTTAGAATTTTAATATTATCAACTTTATTTTATTTTGGTGTCAGAAATATTAAAATTATGCTGAAATAAATATAATATTACTAACTTAACCTAACTTTCGTTTTGCAAGTGTTGAACGTGGTTGAACGTAACAACTTTAAACTGTCTAGTGGAGACGGGCTTTTTGACATCGGTCTGTTTTTGACATTTGATTTAAAACAATAACAAATATGAAGCGACAATAACAAATGAATGAATAAAAAACAGGAATAGTGAATAAAGAATAATTTTTTCGAATGTTTTTGTCAATAAAACTCTATTAAAAATACAATTTGCATTCTTTTTGAATTATGTTCACTTTTTTTCGATTTTTCTTCTGTAACTGTATGCTTTGAAAATGAGACCGACACAATGTCTGCCACAAAACAATTACAAAGCAATCATAAAAATTACCCGGGTTTTTTCGACAAAAACATTCGAAAAGATTATCACAGACCGATGTCAAAAACCGACCGATGTCAAAAAGCTTTTCTTTGCGTGGCGAATTCACTACCGTCTCCACTAGACAGTTTAAAGTTATAACGTTCAACCACGTTCAACATTTGCAAAGCGAAAGTTAGGTTAAGTTAGTAATATTACAGTAAAACCTGTCAATAACGGAATCCCACGGGGAATTTTTTTTTTCCACTATTGACAAGAATTCCACTATTCCCAGGTTCCATTAATAACAGGTTTTCATGCCAATTCAGAAATGATTTTCCATTATTGAGGGAAAATGTGAAAAAAAAGAAGAAATTCATATATTTTCATCATTATATAGCTAGCAAAATTTTTCAGGGGATGATTTTAGAAGAAAATCCTAGAAATCAAAAGAATTTTTCGCATGGGAAATTCTAGCAAAAAGGGTATTCCAATCGGAAAAAACTGACTTCCAAAATACAGCTCTAAAATCCCTAGCAAATCGAAAGAATTTCTCTCGCGTTCCAAAAACCCTAGCAAATCAAAAGAATTTTTCCCAAATTTTTTCCACTATTGGGGGTGAGCGTTTTTTGCCGTTTTCCGTTATTAACAGGTCATTTTGTATGGAGATCTCAATGGTGGAAATTTTTTTCCACTATTGACAAGAATTCCACTATTTCCAGGTTCCGTTATTGACAGGTTTTACTGTATATTTATTTCAGCATAATTTTAATATTTCGGACAACAAAATGAAAAAAAAAAAGAGTTGATAATATTAAAATTCTAAATATTTTATACCTGAAGCGACTTGAAGTTAATTAGTTCAATTTTATTTAAGCCATTTCCAACAAGCTATCTTTAAGGCCAACAATGCCGCATTTGTGATACATTTGTATATTTGCTCAACATTTGTTGAATTTGTGATACATTTGCTGCATTCATTGAAAGCACAGCATATTTATTCAAAAATGATGCATTTGTTTTCATGATTTGTCCCTAGGATTAACATAAACGATGCTCAAAACGGCCAGATTCGGGTTCTCTGACCTCAGAAACGTCCAGAAAACATGTTTCTGAAGTTTTCAAAATTTTGACCGATTACAATACTTTTCACCTTACACTATGTGTGCGGAAAAGTAAAACCGAAAATGATTTAAGCTTAATTTGAAATGGATAAAAATCAAAGAGACAATAAAAGCTTACCATCCGTACCGAAATTATGCCCAAACTGTCACACTGCTAGCGCCACGATGGAATTCAATGTAATCTACAAAAAGTTGCCGCCAAATAGTGAAAAGACTTTTGCTCAGTTGCAACCAACGCGCTAGAGCTCAATAGTTGTCCGTAGTGGCGCTAGCAGTGCTACAGTTTTGCATTTTATTTGGTGTGTTACCATCATTTCGTTTTATTGAATTCAGACTCTGATAAAAAAAATGTCATTGTCACGTTTTATCCTTTCTCTTTTTTCTCTCTCCCTATTTTCAAACGAAACAACAAAAAAAAGATTGGTGTCGGAGGTGCTGTCGTATATAGACAGTTGTGGTTTGAATCCAACGAGAATTTCCTTTGTGGCACATTCATTGGGTACGATAATCGTTCGATCGGCATTATCACGGCCGCAACTTCGTCCAATTCTGCCTCGATTGCATACATTCCTTTCATTATCCGGGCCACATTTGGGCACGCTTTTCAACAGCAGCGGTTTGGTTAATATGGGTACGTATATTTTGTTGTCGGCATCAAAATGTGGTGAAGACGAAAAAAAGGAAGAAGTTTCAATTGTTTTTTATTCTCTTTCATTTTCTTCTTTTCACTTCAAAATTCCACTCCGCCACATAATATATATAATCTTGTGTGCAATGTGCAATTTTATTGCAATTTTATGTGACAGGCATGTGGTTCATGCAAAAGTGGAAAAAGTCTGGTTCATTATTGCAATTGTGTATGCGGGATAAATCCGATTTGCGCAAGTGTTTTTTGTATAAATTGAGTCAAAAGAGCACTTTGCATTATTTTAAAAATGTGCTGCTGTGTGGATCATCGCAGGACCGATACGTGCCCTCTCATTCTGCTCGCATGGAACTGTGTAAGGCGGCTGTTCGCGATAATTCAATTTTGGGCGCAGTCTATCGGTAAATCAATTGCATTTTTAAATTTCTCTTTCACTTCTATTTATTATACACTCTCTGTATTCAAGAGGTGCACTTACATTATTCACTTACTAACCATTTATTTTCGGGATTTTTTTTCTTTTCTCTTTTCACAGTGAAATGATCCATAATATATTATCGCCGATGTTGGCCCGGCCCGTCCGGTTTATTCGTTACGATGTACAGCATGCATTGCCAAACACTGCAAATGCACTGATTGGCCGCGCTGCTCACATAGCCGTACTCGATTCCGAACTTTTTATCGAGAAATTTTTATTGGTCGCTGGTTTAAAATACTTTAGCGAAGACGTCAATTAGTTACCTGCCTGCTGTGAAACAGAGAAGAAGATTAGAAGAAGAATGATTATGAAAAGAAAAATGTGTCCCTTTTTAAGAAACAACATTCAATTCCAAGATTTGTGTTTAAGAAAATCGAAAATTCATTTAAATATAAAAAAAAAAAAATTGCTTGTGATTCCCTCTTCCTCCAAATTTGGAAAATATGTCTATTTGAATTGTTTAGTGTGTGTGAACAATGGCCTATTTCAATTGTCTTTATTTCGAATTTTTTTTTATCTTTTAACATTCTTGACTTCAATTGGTCATTACAACACACAATGAGTCTTATTGATCATCGTGACGTTAAAAAAGAACATTTTAACTGATATTCAAAAGAAAAAATTCAATGAATCTATAAATTAAAACAGAACTTTATGTATGTGACACTGTAAGAAAATGCTTATGAATTTGAATGCGTCCAAAATAATTTACGCAATATATTAAATTATGTATATATATGATCTCGGTCATATTGAAGAATATGAAGAGAAAATAAATGCAAATCGTGCAAAAACTATAGGAATGTATGCATTTTACGTGGAGATTTCAATATTCATATGTATATGACCGAATCCATCTAATCGTTTTCTTTACGCAATTCTCAAGTAATTTTTAAGTTGGAATATAAATGTTTGTAGCTTTTGCAAGCAATCAAATCAAAACTCTGAACAAAATCAAAAAAGTGCCAATTTTTTGACCAATTATCATTTATGGATCTGTATCGAATTTAAATGCGAAAATGATCCAAAAATTGAGAAGACATTTCGTTTTAGGCCACTGAAGTGTAGACAGATATTTCCGATAGATGTTCGGCCGAGCTCGGCATTACCATTTGTGTATTGCTGAGAGGTGCGACTTTCGAAAGACTTACTCCCGAATTTTCGGTTGGCTAAAAACATACGGGGAATTTCTCTTTACATGTTGTTTGTTTAGATTGAAATCTATTCATTTTTTCCGATTCCAATTGTCATTAGGAGTTTCTTACTCTCTTCAAAGATTGAAAATCACTTCTAACATAAAACTAAATCAATAAAATAACTTTTACAGTGGCTTCTCGGTTTTTTCATGCACAATTTTTCCATACAAATAAATCTCATACACAAAAGAATTTTTACAAAACAAAATACTTCGAACACTTCTCACCAAAATATCTCAACTTTTTAAACTCTTGCCTTCAATCGAAACTTCAGTATCAAATTAAAAAAAGAAAACAAAACAGAGAATCAGAATAGAGTATTATATGAAATGAAACAAGAAATCAAAACGAACAAAACAAAAACGAACGATCGATGGTTAGATTCGGCTTAGGGTTTTGTAGTAGGATGAAGAGAATCGAATATGTTTATTTGCGAAAATATTATCTTTAGAGAGGGCAATGATTTATATAAACGAATAAATATATATATTATATTATGTATACAAAATACACCATTTATTAGTGAATTAGTAAAATTGGCTGATGAGCAATTTTATATTTAACAAAGCAGAGAAAACCGAACAAATGATCTATATATTATGACACGAATTATAGTTAAAAATGCGTACGGATTGTAGCTAATGGATTTTTCCTCTCGGAAAGTGTTAGAGTAAAAAAAGAATAATAATCAAAAATCATATTGTGATTAGATAATGCAAAGATTTTTATCAAACACACGCACGCTGTTCGTTTGGTGTGTAAAAGTATAAAAGTAGATGAGAATCAAAAAATGCTTAAAAAGATTCATCGCATACACAAAATGGCACAATAGCTCCTATCTCAATCGAATTGACGGTGTCCTATATGCTCTATATTTAGACGGAAAATATACGTATTTGTAGAAGAAAAAGATGTTTTGTTTATGGTAGTGAAGTGAAAGCAAACGGTCTAGTTAGTCGAATGAGAAAAGTCAATTATATCGAATTTGAGTCTGAGTTTTATTATTTAAAAAAAGTCATATTTTTCGCCATCTCTTAATAAAGCAGCTAGTAAATATATACAAAACATTGTATGCAATCCTCATTTTACTCAACTCCAGCCACGTTGTATTGTGTAGACTAGTATTTAGCGAAGCTTATATGATCTCTCGAACATACGAAAGAACACAAAGATTTTAAATAAAAATTTATCAATATTTTTAAATTGTTTACAGTTACACACCGTTTAACCAAAAATGTTATTTAGAACTACGTTGACACACGTGGGAAAGAAGAAAAAAATCATTGTACATGTTATTAACACAGATTTTATTGTAACTTTTTTCACCATCCCCCACTATGGAAATACGCCGTCAAAAAAAACTATCGTTACAAATATATTTAGTATTTGAGAGTATGTGCAAATTCACTAAATTGAGAACCAATCAACAAAAAACCAAACAAAAAACAAAAAATTCTATACATTTTTTATAGGTGTTAAAAAGATTTATTTACTATCTATCGACTAAAAAAATACTATACAAAGAAACAATCGAAAAATGTTTGTATTCATGTTTGCGATTTTGATGTTTGCGATCATAAATTTAATCGTAGTCTTTGTTTCAGAGAGGTTAATAACCGGATCTTCTGCCGGTTTTTGGATCTTCTGAATTTAAAAGTGCTGCTCTGATTCGAAATTTCGGATCCTCGTAAAAATGCTTCTCTGAAATCTGAATTTCATATAAATTTTAATTTTATCACATAGCATTATCACATTTCATATTCGCAATATTTGCTGAAGCATTTGAAGAAACTGATTCATTAAACGAGGAACAAATCAATTTCAGCAAAAAAATTGAAATGTAATTGCAATCCGTTTTATTTTAGTTATTCAAAGAATAAACAAACCAAATTCATTTATTTAACTTCACCGATTTGTTTTTTAAATGTTTGACAACCGATTTTTCGGTTCTTCTAAAATGAAAATTCAGATCTTCTGGAGTGATTTTACCGAATTTTCGGATCCTCTGAAAATTTCTTATTTACCTCTCTACTTTGTTTATTTCTTTATTTTCTTTCTTACTGTTCATACAAAGTATATATTGATGATAAGCATAATACACACATCTTTTTTCAAATTCACGCGAATCAATTAGCATCAATTTTTTCATATAATAAAAAAAAATGAAAATAAACTTTATGAGAAAAGACATTTTTCTATTAAGAAATAGAGTGAAATGTTTTAGTTGAGAATAATTACACAATAAAAAAAAACACAAATTGAAATAAATCGATGAGTAAAACACTCATAGAAAAAAACAAATTGTTGATGTTTGATATGTATTCGACAATTATTAACAGCACGATAAACTAAAGGAAAAGATGGTAAAAGTCAATTGGTAAGTGAGTCAATACTGGAACAGAGAATTGAACTATTGAAATTTGGCACTGTTTATTGGTCAAAATTCACTTCCACGTATAGACCCTGGTCGGATTGACCTTAAAAAAGACACACTTCCAGCTCTTTCCATTTGGCTCACTATGGCAGTCACATCGAAATCATATCATCTATTTGAGCATCTATTACAAAAAAATTGTTTTGAGTTTACTCTTCCCACATTGGAAATGAATTGCGAGGCTGAAATTGGTTTAAATCAAAGATCAAAAGTATAAACTCCACAATGGCGAATCAAAACTTCATCATTTGCTCATTTATTTTAAAAAACCGGATAACATTCATGACAAATAACAAAGAGAGTTTTTACATTCTTATCAACAAAAATTATTAAATTCATCACAATGTCCAACAATGTTGATGCTGGGGCATTTTTCTTTACATTTAACTGGATTACAAGTATCATGCTTTACTCTCGGAGAACCAAACGAAAAGGAAATGTAAAAAATGTGAATATATTTTTAAAAAATATAGATATACATTAGGGTGGTTCGATTTTTGGGAAAATACAAAATGGGATACTGACTATAGTTATAAGCTATGGAAAAAAATGTAAGATATACGAATCAAGGACCAGTTCGTGCATATTTCCATGCTTCCCTAGATACGCTAGGTAGCATAGAAATGCCAAGCATAGCGGCAAATGCAACCGACGCATCGCCGTCCACTCTGTATGAACATTAGGGTGTTTCCACATGGAAAATATTAAAAAGTGGCTAGCATCATTTTGAAGAGCGTAAAATTCTATATAAGATTATTTTATTTTCGATGCTGATTGGTCGCCGATGTCACTTCCTGGACTAAAAACACATTTGTAAATTGATTTCATGTCGCATTCACGCCAGAATCTGTAATTAATGAAATTATAAGATTGAACAAAATTAAAAACATGAAAAATAATTTTAATATCAATATTATTGCTTAAATATTTAAAAAGTAACACAAAAACTAACAATTTTACCACAATAAACCAAAACAATGCAAAATCGCCAATTCATTTGACACATAACCTGTCATTTGTCATGCGTGAGCGAATCACGCTTCAAATGTCATTCTGTCAAATGAATTGGCGAATTTGCATTGTTTTGGTTTATTGTGGTAAAATTGTGAGTTTTTGTGTTACTTTTATTAATATTTAGGCAATTATTTTGATATTAAAATTATTTTGAGTGTTTTTAATTCAGTTCAATCTTATATTTTCATCAATTACAGATTTTGGCGTGAATGCGACATGAAATCAATTTACAAATGTGTTTTTAGTCCAGGAAGTGACATCGGCAACCAATCAGTATCAAAAATCAAATCATCTTATACAGAATTTAACGCTCTTCAAAATGATAATAGCCACTTTTTAATATTTTTCATGTGGAAACACCCTAATGAACATACACATGTTCGTGTATGCAGGCGGCCGTGCTTTGAGAGACGTACGCATAAGATATAGCTCGAATCGAATGGCGACGCATGCGTTGCGGCTTGAGTCTCCGCTATGCTAGCATAGCTATCTTGCATAGAAATATGCGCGAACCGGTCCCTGATACGAATTTGACGTTTTTTTGACATAATTGAATTCACAAGTCTGGTGCCGCGAGGGGTGCATTTTTTGAAATTTGACCAATTTCTGTTTCGTAACGCTACTAGTTAAGTAAAATAGGCCACCAAAAGCGAGGAAAGAGTCCCTGGAACAAATTATAACTCATTATTGGAGTGGTTCAATTGTACTGAAATTGTCCGACTCACCCTATAACCTCTTGAGGGTGTGAAAAAGAGACTTTTACAACAAATATCGAAAATAACCAATTTTTTGTGCTGGAATATTCAGATTAGGTCATGACAAATGTATTTTGGAAGTAAAAAAACGATGTACACTCAAATAAAAGTTCCTATATCTTGAAAATTGCAGACTTTCAAATGGTTCAATATGAACAACTTTCTTCGAATGTGCAAGTGCATTGTTTTTTCCTTCTAAAATGGATGAAATATACAAAGTATTGTAATATTACACGGCTTTAAAATGATAAGAGCTCGACAATGTTGAGTCAACATGATGCCAACGTTCAAGTCCAAGCATTCACAAATGCGTATATCAATACAGCACTCTTTTGATGCGCATCGCTAGTGCAAACGCATTTTTTATAAAACAAGTCATCGAAAGCGCGTCAGAAATTGGCATTTCGGGCAACCAATAGAAGTTCAAAATTAGTGAGCAACAGTGGAACATTTCAAAAGAAAGTGCATCATAACTTATGTTGCAGTTTGTTTCTCATTGTTTAATTGTTGTTCTCTAATTCTCAACTCTTAATTGTTGACATTTGATTTACATTCCAGTTTAAGTTGAAGATTTTTTCTCAACTTTTCTGAGGGTATCTTTGTTTCTCAACGGTTCAATTCGTCTTTGAAGAGAATTTCACATTTTTTTCTTCTTGCGAACTTTGAAAATTATGTAGCAAAATTATGAGTACACCGCCAAATCACGATCTGATTTTTTTTTTTTCATTTTTTGAGTGCTCTATACCGAGTCTCCGAGAGTTTCATATAAACTTCCCATTTAACACCTATTGAAAAGTGACTGAATGCCAATCGTGATTTGGATGATAAGGAATGCGAGGTTTTTCATTCTGATTTCACCTGATGACACAGAAAATGTAATAGTATTTGTAAATCGAAGAAAAAAAATTAATTATTTTTTTCATTATTCGCAAGTTTTCATCATCTACATCAGTGTTTCGAATTTTTCAATGCCAATTCATTCAATTATAATTACCATTAAATAATGCAAATTGAAATTTTCACTTATGCAACTTCACGCAATTGAAATGAATTTCAATTCATTTCACAATTTGAATGTAAATGGTAATCGAAAATTCAATTCAATGAATTGAAAAAAATAAATTGAAAATTTTAATTTACATTAACTAATGGTAATTGATTTTCAAATAAATGAATTGTAAAAAGTAATCATTATTTCAAACACTGATCTACATGGCAACCTTATATGAAACTCACGGAGACTCGGTATAGAGCACTAAAAGTAAAAAAAAATACAAATTTTTTCTCAATTCTCGAACATTCTTTCTATAATTTGAAACAAAAAATCGCTACGAACGAACGAACGAACAAAATTTTTATTTTTCCGATTTCTACGAACGAACAAATTTTTTTTTCATTTCCTACGAACGAACGAACGATTGGGTTTTTTCTCTCAAAACAGGTGTTGATTTTAACTGAATTTTTAGAATTAGTTTTATTTAATTCATGTATTTTTTTTTAATTTAGTAAATATTTCCAAAATTCAGTAGTAAAGTACTTATATTAAACTACCAGTTGAGAGCAGTGCTTATAAAACGCACGCTCAACGCGATACGTAACTCAATGTGCTGAGTTTTCGAATGCACGGTGCGCTTTTCCACTCACCGAACAAGTGCAAGAGCAACTCACTACTCGCTCAAGTCACATTATGAGTGAGCTAAATCTCGTTCACACCACTCAAATATTTACTTAAAAATAAACATAAAAAACATCATACAAAATGAAGGATAAATGAGAAGTTTTTTTGTCTTTTCGACATCTTTTTGCTGTTACTAGGCATGTTTATATGACACTTTCAGAGACTCGGTACAATACACAAAAATATTGATTTTTTTTTAAATATTTTTGTATTATACCGAGTGAATTTTTTTATTCATTTATTTATATGTATGGGGAGTCACGTAGGTTGAACCATGTTTTGTTTTTTGGCCAAATTTTTTTACTCAAAGAAAATCTCACGGAAAGTGATATACCGTTGGAAAGGTACTGTTCCGGGCAACAACTTTGCCCAAAGAAGTAGTTGTGTATCTTCAAAAACAAAAAAGTTATGACCAATTTTCCGGACACATGATTTTTGGCCCCTCGAAAATTTGTCACGTAGGTTGAACCACTATGAGTTTTTGAGAGTGATTTGATAAAAATGATGTATGAACGCTAGATTTCAAGTGTTTATTATCGTTAAATTTATTTGAAAGGCCTCGGCCATAAAAAAGAGAATAAAAAGTAAAAAAATTCAATCAAAATTCATTCTGAAAGGTCCGCATCTGAGTCACAATTTTGGCATGTGAAATAGCTGCGTGTCAAGTGTACGCACTTCAAATGAAATGGTCGTTTGCACTTATTGCACTCGATGGAGTTGGCGCTGGTTAATTTGGCTGGCAGATTCTGCATGCAGATCATGCAAAAATCCACATCTTCGTCCGATGTCGACGACGATTTCTTTTTTGCGGCGGCGGCCCGTGATGGCTGTGTTCGCTTTTTCGGTGTTTCCTTTCGCGGCGAACCCTTTCGTTTCTTTGCGCTATCTTCCTTCTTCTTTTTCGCGGCATCACTCTTCTCCTTTCTATCTTTGAGTGTGGCAACCAATTCTGGTGAAGTGAGAACATTTTCCTTGCAAAACGATCTGACTCGGTTGATGCTGGTTTGTTCGGGTGTTCGCAAAGAAAGACTTGGGTGACGTAACATGAAACCATAGTACCAGGTTTTACCGGCCATTTGTTCATTATCCCAATTTGTTGGATAATCGATGTTCAGCTTGCGCGCGTATTCGTACGCCAATTTTTTCAATTCTGTAATACTCAGGCCGTAATACAGATGACAGCATCGCACGAGATATTCTACAAGTGCTTGTTCTTGTTCTTCATCAAAAATCTGAAACAATAAAAAAAAATAATTTATTGAACAATATGAAAAAAACGAATTAAAATGTCTTTCTTACCTGCTTTGGTGTCGCATACGATCCAATACGGCGAAGGATAGTCAACAACTCGTCATCAGACAATTTAGAAATGTCTGGAACCTCTTTGTCGAACTTATCCAAATATCTTTTCAAGCTGGTTCTGTTGATTTTATATGCACGGGCGGCTTTTCTGATGCTTTCTTCTTGGGTTTTTATGGCTTTTATGGCACGCAGCAATGCACCAATTGAAAAGTACCGAAAAGTACCGAAACGTATCAAAACATACCAAAACGTACCAAATAGGTATTCGTTTCAAAAAAAAAGTGAATAATTTTTTCGTGTTTTCGACTGTCTTTTTGGTGTTACATGGCAAGCTTGTATGAAACTCTCGGAGACTCGGTATAATGCACAAAAAAAGTGAAAAAATGTTTTTCGATATTTTTGTGCACTATACCAGTCTCCGAGAGTTTTATATAAGCCTGCCATGTAGTAGCAGAAAGACAGTCGAAAAGACGAATTTTTTTTTTTTTCAATATTCTCGACTGTCTTTCTGATGTAGTTTGAGATTTAGTAGTGATCTCAAACTTAACCAAGAAATTTTACAACTATCTCTTTCGGTTTAGCCACTAGACACCGAGCAAAAAGAGTCGGTTTCGGCGTGAGTCATTATTATTCTCAACCATTCATATATGGTACGAATTTGCATACCTTCCCGTGCAGTACTGCAGGCTGTCATGTTTTAAGCGAATATAACTAAACATATTTGGGTTATTATTGGTCTTCCTCATGTAATCTTTCTTTTAACTTTTCTTTTTATTTTATTTAATAATTACACAATGTGGAAATGAAAAAACATTGGAATAAATTGATGAGACAATTGACAACAGTCAAAGAAAAAACATGATATTTAATCTAAAAATCTGTTTGCATTGAATGACAACCGATGTTAGTAATTATAAAAGCCTGTGTTATAATAAAGGAGGATTTTTTGTTATTTCAATTGGTTTTTGTTGGTTATTCAATATCCATAGCGATCAAAAACCATTAGCGTGTGGAGTTTCTATTGGAAATTTTCAAATTGATTTTGCCATCCATGACCACTGTAAGACCATTATTGGCTATAACTAATTCACGATCGTCCACGCATTCGAAATGGTAATTTTTTAATATTGACACAAGAGCTGTTTTAGTTACGACTTTGCCCATTCGTGAACCTATTTAAAAGAAAAAAATGAAATAATTTCACATTGACCACTGAGAATATATAATAAAGAAAATGAATACCAATGCATGCTCTTGGCCCCTCTCCGAATGGAATAAATGCATCTGGATTGAACATTGGTTTATCGGCGGAAAAACGATCAGGCATAAAGTTCTGGGGATCTGGAAAGTATTCTGGATCTCTCATCAATCCAAGTAATGAAATTGCAATCGGTGTTCCTTTTGGCACAGTTAGACCCACGCTCTCAATTCGATAATCTTTGGTGCATATACGATTCAAAAACGGTAACGTTGGATACTTGCGAACCGATTCTAGAACATACAACCATATTCATTTAATCAATGTTCACAATATTCACATACTCAGAGTGCTTTTTCACGAATTACCTTTGACGCACATCTCCAAAAATGTCATATCTTTGATACTGTCAAATGTGATTTCATTATTATGTTCGGCCAAAACGGTATCGATTTCATCGTAGAGTCTTTTCAATAGTTCCGGCTTTCGTGACAATTCAAATAGAGTGTATGCGACGGTTGATGATGTGGTATCAAAACCAGCCAAATAAAATAAAGCCACCTGTGCAGCACATTGTTCAATTGACAATGATTTGAACGACGATTCGTTTTTGGAAATCGATGCAAATGCAATGTCATTGTCCTCGTCCACCTTGCCAGTGTTTCTCAATTGCATCAACAAATGAATGAAATCTTTCCGCATGACATTATTTGTTTCGCGATATTCCATTGTATTTTTAACCAAATCAAGCATATAACTCTTAAACTTTCCTGATTGAGATGACATGCCAATCATTTCGAGGAGTCTGTTCAAAAGAACACACAAAACAACTGAGTAAAATCAAACCAAACAAGTAACAAATACCGTAGCCATTGTTTATTACCTTGGACAGAAAAATGCACCGATCAAACGAATTCGGTTAATGAATTCTCCACTTGATATGTTCTCTTCGATTTTCCGGAATGAATGATTTGGATCATCAATAGTGTTTACATCTATACCAAAGCCCACCGTTCCAATAACATCCATTCCAAATCTAATGAGAGAAGCAAAAAGAATACGAACCCATGGCAATGATTAAAGAAGCCATAAGAAAACCATAGATTAATTGCCTAAAACGATAAAAAATAAAATTCACATATAGTTGGCGCTGCATTCTATGCAAACTTGTTTTCCGTTGCAACGGACTAAGTGGAAAGTATACGCTTATTACATAGAATGTAGCGCCAACTATACGTGAATTTTATTTTTTTATCATTTTAGGCAGAATTCTTATCGCTTCTTTGAAAATAATTTGATGATTTACAATAAGGGAAAATCGAAATCATAAGGTTTAGTTGGGAGATGTTGAATTGCAAATATACCAAAAAATAAAATGTCTTACATCCGTAAGATGAACTTTTCCGCACTGTGATCCACGACATGCATTTATTACAAATCTTTTACTCAAATAATTCACGAGAAAACTAAATCTGACATTAGTTTTAGATAAAAATAATTTTCGAAGCACTTTTCTTACAAAAACTACTAAAGATGGGAATTTTTGTATCGGAGCCATGCCTATATGATATCGTAATTATGTGAAAATTTGCAGAGGTTTTTTTTTTTCACAAAAAGTTAACATTCTGAAGTTTGAAGAAATTTCAATGCATATTAAGCGAAAAATCCAAAATTTTGTTCGGGAGGTGCCTCAAATATTTGTTGAAATGTCTTCAAACTCTCGGAATGGTATTTATGTGTGATAAAAATAACCTGTGCAAAGTTTCAGCTCATTACGATATCATACAGGCATGGCTTCCATACAAAAATCCAAATTTTTTGAATTTTTTGTATGAAAAGTGTGTCGAAAATGAATTGTATCGCAAAACTAACGTCATATTCGGTTTTCTCGTACCCAAAAACTCCCCAATACACATTTTTGAGTATTTAAGAATACATTAAATATCACTTTTGGAAGAAAAATTGAATTTTTCCCATGGATGGACATGGGCATCACACCAGACATGACACTTTACCCTGTCAACCGAAGTCGCTCAAAATCTAATGGTTTCTATTCCTCGGCACCCCCAATCATCCTGTGAAGTCAGATTTTGAATTACTTTTCTTGTTTGAAAGTTATCGTGTTAACAAATTTTTGCGTACAGGGTACAGGGTACAACGTACAGGGTACAGGGTACAGGGTACAGGGTACAGGGTACGCACATACATTCGGACATCGAAAAAACGCTAGATTCGTGTTCCCTGGCCCCAAAAACACCCAGAAAACACATTTTTTATGGGTGTTAATTTTTCGACCGATTCCAATACTTTACCTTACACACTAGGTGTGTGCGGAAAAGTAAAATTCAGTCAAAATGATACAGTGAAGAAGATATGTTATTCAAACAACAGCGTATCCATATTTTACTTCAATGTAACCAGTTTTAAAGTGTACGTTGAACACACCTATAGCAGTGGATTACTATTTTCGTACACTTGAATATCGATATCGATGTGATAGTAATATCGCATACAGTATTGCTATGGACACAAGTTAAAAATAGCAGGTAACAATTTTATAAAAATTCGTCGACTATACACAATACGGGAACAGCTTATCTCTAAAAATTGACTAAATTTCGACGATAAAAAGATTACATTTCTATTTATTCAATTGATTCATTGACTATTATTGGAGAAAGACTTATTTTTCAAGTGGAAAATTTCCACACAATAATTTTCGACAAGGTGACTTTGTTTCTTCCCGATTTCGTATAAAGATAAAAAAAAATGTATGCATACCTGATCGTGAGATCTTTGATGTCAACGATTGCATTGTTCTGAGCAGATGATGACAGTTTTCGAATGAGATTCTGTGCAATTTGAATGATTGTTGGCATCATTGCTTTGAGTTTGCCTGATGTGAATGTTGGTGTTAGTTTTGCGCGTAAATTTTTCCAATCTTGTCCCGATTTCATGAACATATTTCCGGCCACTTCGTCTTTTGGATTGTGATAAAAGCCACGATCATAGAAACTCGCAAAATCGGTGGTTAAAATAGTTTTGATAAGTTTTGCATCGCGCAACAATAGGGCCGGTTTAAAAAGAAAATAAACACCTTCCACCGGTTCATTTGAACTGCGATGAAGGTCGTACAATTCTTTGCCGATCGACTTTCGACCGAGAAACGAATCCGATAAATTACCCAACGGAATCGTCGGTTTTATCGATGGAAATCCCAGTCTTTCCCAATAATTGTACACATGCTTTAGCCACAAATATAAAACGCTAAGTGCAACAATTAACAAATATAATGCGATCATTTTAAATTGGTTTAAATGCTAAAATGAGAGTAAATTTCCACTGAACTACTTGTTTCAAAATTAAAATTCATACTGACTCAGTATCACTAAGTCTAATCGTAATCTTGCGCAGTAACTTTTAACTCAGTGGAACACACGTAATGATAATATAATTGATTGGCATTTAAATATACAACGTAGATTATATTCAATTGAAAAATCACAACAAATAATGTTTGATTTTCAAAGTCAATACAAAATTGTTTGAAATATAAATGAGCAAATCATCATCATTACAATGCGGTTTTACGTGATATCAATGAAAACAAATTATATATGAAATTTGACGAAGAAACTGACTACGCATGTAGTTGTTTCAGCCGTCAACAATTGTAAAGTATATTTTATCGCAGTTATTGCATAACGGCTGATTATATTAAGTGGACCTTGTGATAAAGCACATTTGTCACGAGTGTTGAAGCAATAATAAGTGAATGAGCTAGAAAACAAACTCGAATGTTATTTTGATACGTTTGATGAAAATAAGATGATTACAGTCAACTCTCTTTTCGCCTCTCAAAGTAGCCATGAAAATTAATAAACCGAGACCGGAACCAAATCCGACAGCGCTTTGACAGGCGGTCACATGGAAAACATTCCAATCCCCATTAACAAAACTATGCTTAACAGTTATTGTATTACATTTTATACGAGATTTATTTATTTATAATTATAAAAAAAAACAATGTGAATATGAACAAAAAAGATAAAAAATTAATGTCGTGACGAATTATGTAAAAAATAAATATTATATTTCAATCACTCAGCGGCTAGATATATTAGATAACATTTCTATTTTACTTTTCCGCACACCTAGTGTAGGGAAGGTCAGCCGGTGTATATTTGTATGAGATTGGAGACTTTTTTTTGCGAATCTCGCTAATGAGCGCCATCTGATTTTAGTGTGAATTAGATGCAAAAACTGAATTTAATTCTGTAGCATTGAAATGAAAAAGTGAAAAAACAACAACAATAGCACGGCCACACAGAGCTGTACATCTATGCGTGCTGATGCATACATACACATATACGCTTTCTTCATTCTTTCATTCCATTGCTATACGTATCTCACTGGTCAACAGATCTATGTAGCCATGCTACTGTTGTTGTTTTTTTTCTCTTTTTCGATTCAATTCATTGTAACTAAATTGAGTTCAACTATGGAATACAAGATGGCACAGATGAGGGGAATTCGCATTTTGTCTCTTCATAGGCTTAGCCGGTTGGGGAAGGTATTGTATTAGGCGAAAAAATTAAAGTCATCCCAAAACATGTTTTCTATGCATATTTAATGTAGAAAACACGATTGGAGATGATTTTGGGGCATATTAATGTGCGTCGCTGTGTGTGATGTGTCCTGTGTCCTGTGTCCTGTGTCCTGTGTCCTGTGTCCTGTGTCCTGTGGCGTGTTGCCAAAATTTGTTAACTCGATAAATCTTCTTCCAAAAACTCAATTCAAATTCTAACTTTGCAGGATGATTTGGGACTACTAGGAGACGTGCTGATTAGTTTTTGAGCAATATCTGTTGACCGGTGTAATTTTTTTTGGTCCGAATGGAGTACCCACATCCATACATTTTTTGATCATTTTTCAACCATTTTGGTGACACGATGGTTTCGTGCTCAGACATGAAATTCAAAATCGGACTTTACGGGATGATTGGGCATTACGAGGAATAGATCTGGTCAAATTTTCAACGACCTTGATTGATCGATGTAAAACTTAGACTGTGAAGAGCCACTTATGAGAAAAATGCCTTAAAATGATATTCTTTCAATTTGAACGTTGAATGAATGTGTAGTGGGGGTTTTTTGGCACGAGAAACCCGAATCTGATGTTAGTTTTAAGATGCAATCAATTTTTCACACACTTTTCATACAAAAATCCACAAAAAGTTTCATTTTTGTATGAAAGACTTGCCTTTGTGGTACCGTAATGATCTGAAACTTTGAACAGGCTATTTTTGGATTGAAATTTCTTTAAACTTGGTGTGATTATTTATTTTGATAATATTCACAAGTTTTCACGGTAATTTAAGTTACTGCAACCATACATAGATCATCATTTCTGTTTATTCCCAAAATTTCGGTTCCATGCGGAAAAGTCAGCTTGCGTACGTAAGCCTCTTTATTTTACACGTAATGACAGCTCATTATTTTTGTTTTTTTTTTATTAATGAAACTAAATTAAAATTGAAATTAAATTAAAAAATGTAAGATTTTTACGAATGCGATTACGTCGTTTTATTGTTCTGCTGTGCAGCAGCAAGGAACATATTGAGGTTAGGACATTTGTGATTTGACAGCTCGGTCACGGTTTGGACCCGGTGCTTTATGTCGGAACAACTCCATAGAAATTTGAAAATTCTAGAAATACAAAATGCTCCAGAGAATGAGTACACTCATTATTACCTGCAATTATTCTATGTATAATTTTTCAAGACCCAAATACACCTGAATACAACAAAGAGCAGCACTTACAAGGCAAGTGTCCGCACCACCGCGGTAATGGAAAAATGTTTTTTGTTTCTATCGAATAAATGCATAAATATTTCTCAAGTAAATTCCATATGAAAAGTGAATACTTATCCACTAGGGTGGAACTATTTTTCAAATTTGATGTCATATCTCGATGGCCACTTGGAAAAACACTAAGGGACGGAAACAATTGGCTAATTTTTTGTAGTAGAAAAATTAGCAAAAATTAATTGATTCGCCATTTTGATTTTGTGTCATCAGTATGTCATTCGATGACCAAATAAGTATATATATAATAAATACTCTCAACATTCTGAGAGTTTGAAGAAAAAATGTCTTCAAGATCTTGGAATCGTATTTTTGTGTGATAAAAATAGCCTGTGCAAAGTTTCAGCTCATTACGATATCATACAGGCATGGCTTTCATACAAAAATCCAATTTTTGGAAATTTTTGTATGAAAAGTGTGCCGAAAGTTATTTGTATCGCAAGAAAAACGTCATATTCGGTTTTCTCGTACCCAAAAACCCCCCAATACTCATTTTTGAGTGTTTAAGTATACATTAAATATGACTTTTGGAAGAAAAATTGAATTTTTCCCATGGATGCCCATGGGCATCACACCAGACATGACACTTTACTCTATCAACCAAAGTCGCTCAAAATCTAATGGTTTCTATTCCTCGGCACCCCCAATCATCCTGTGAAGTTAGATTTTGAATTACTTTTCTTGTTTGAAAGTTATCGTGTTAACAAATTTTTGCGTACAGGGTACAGGATAAGGGTACAGGGTACGCATACATTCGGACATCGAAAAAACGCTAGATTCGTGTTCCCTGGCCCCAAAAACACCCAGAAAACACATATTTTGATGGGTGTTAATTTTTCGACCGATTCCAATACTTTACCTTACACACTAGGTGTGTGCGGATTAAAATTATTTAATACACATCTCATTATGTCAAACGACAAAACGCCAGAATACTTCATTACGTACAGTTGGTAGAACTGTCAATAAAAAAACTAGCACTTTCATAAAGGAATATTAGCATTACTAGATTTTTCAAGCAATAAACTAGAAAATTAGCATTGGTTTCTTTCCCCTAGGAAAAACATATCTTATGGTCTCCAGATTCAAGATATGAAAGAATTTTCAACAGCAGCGACTTGAAAATACAAGAGGACCATTTTACTGGAAAATCATAAAAAATTGCGGTAGCCTAATCACCGTGAAAACCTGTGAATCTTATTTTCTGACCAAAATACATAATATCAGGAAGTTTGATGACATTTCGATCAAAAATAAGGGTACCTTCCATACAACATTTTAATTTTTTTCGTTTGTGAGCTAGACCAAGTGGCCGCAATATTCTGTAGAAAATGGTCCACCCTAGTAGCCACGCAACTGATTTTGATAAACTTATTGATTTTCTTGGACAATGTTTGATTATTCACATTAATATTTGGTGGTTGCTCAATCTGATTAAGTCAATCATGTGAATCAAATGAATCTTTTAATTTACAATGAAGTGAAAATGTTCTTCCTAGAATTCATTCTCTCCTTATGAATTAAACAATGTAGAATTATTAAATAGAACTATACACAAAATAAGCGCATTTTCAGTAGAATATGTGAAATAATTTGAATTCAACTATTAGTTTTCATTTAAAAGCGCTCACGATTGGTTAGGAATACATAATAAAGCCATTTACACCGGAAATTATCGGATTGAAACTCGTTCAAAAATGAAAATCTTTCAAACAACAATAGAGCATTATAAATTCTTAGGAGTTTATGTATCTCAGGCGTTTGAAGAAAATCCGCGAATAAACATTAAACTTATTCTCGCTTATTTTTTCTTGTGTCAATTCTTTTTAACAACAATTATAATCTTTTTTATCGGAGGTAAGACATTCGGAGACTACACTGACTCGATTCATTGGTCGGCAACCACGCTTGCTACGATGATATTGCTCGCAATCATCATCTGGAAGAAGGAAAAGTTATTCGAATTATTCGATAGTTTTCGAAAAGCAATCGAAAATCGTAAGTTTTTGAATGTTCTTGTTAAGTATTGTGCATCTCAGCGACTTTGATTTTTGCCGAAGACTCTAGATTTCTGTGAACACTGTGAATAGTCGTTGTATGCATTGAAGATTGAGAAAAATAGTTTAATAGTCATGGTTTCACTTGATTAGGATCGAAAAATCAATCATCAAAAATCATCTTCGATGAAGTGACAAACAAACATGAAAAGTTCTCGAAAATTGTGATTGATTTTGCAAATTTTACAACTTTATCGGTATTAGTGCCTATGTTTTTTATCACTTTGTCCCGAATCTTTACAAGTGCACAGCCCATCAACTATGAATTACCCGCTGTCGTCTGGTGAGTTTTTCATTTTGATTAATAACAGAAAAAATAAGCAAATTATACGAATTTCAATTCCTATTGCCATACGCCATAGGCTACCATTCAATTGGAAAACACCGGCTGGATACTTGATTGCTTGGTTTCTTCAATTAATATCTACTTATATCTTAATGAACTATGTCGCTGAAAACCTATGTGGT